GAATAATAACAGACGAGCCAAGGCTACACACATTGATTTATTTAATTATTTAACTATTTATAATTTTTTATAAATTAATATTTTATTCGTCTAAAATCACCTTGCACGATTTGAATACAGTGTATATAGTTTTATGTAGATTATTCAAGTACAAGTATAATCTCAATCATTTTTATATCTTCTGTTATTTAATGCTCTGAATGAAGGCAGTTTCCCTTTTAGGGCCCAAGTGCTTCATGATCCTCCCCGATTCTGATAAATTGCTAATCTATTACAGGGGAAGTTTCCCAGCCTGGACTCTGCTGAGGATGGTTATCATGGGGTATCTCCAGTAACAGCATTTCCTGCACAGAATGCTTATGGTAAGGGGTAAATCTTTTATATTTTCACTCTGGGACACTCATGCTATGCATTCTTTCTATGTTATGTATTTATTTTTCAGTACTGTAGATTTTGAAGTAATATACAAAAACATATTAGTTATTTCTTGTTCAAATATAAGTTTAATTTTTAAATGTGTTTATAGCAGAGTTATATTACTGGTGGACTGACGGCAATAATTTCCTGCATATAAAATGGTGTTCCGCTTTCACTTAGTTCCAGATTTAGCCACAAAGCAGTATGCATTTGCCCGATTATGCTGTAAATCTTTGCAAATATAATGAAATAAAATATTTTTTTGCTTTTTCTCATCTAAATTTTTATTTAGAATAATAATAGCAACAATTGTACAAAACTGTACACAACAATCTCGTATAAAGAAGCAGTACAGCGTTGTTCATGACAGTTTGACAGGACGATAACTGCATAAAAATAAGCTCCAAACATGACACAACAGGCTAGCGTATTTCGGATACATGCAGGCACATCTGGGAGACGAGCTGGTGAGGTTTCAGGTAGAACGGGCAGATGTAGTGGGAGTAATCCCCAGCGCAGAGTTGGTGATGGGGACATCATGTTTTTGAGTCCCAAGGAAACCTTATCTTCAGTGCCAGCAGTTTTGTGTCCTGAGACTTGCTATGATGAGGTACATCGGAGGGAGAGAGAAGGAAAAAGAGAAGTGAGATGGAAAGAAAGGAAAGGTCAAGAGGAGAAAATAGAAAAAGGGAAGAGGAAGGAGGGGAAAGAGTCAGGCGGTGTGAAGGGGAGGAAGCAATGTTCGTAGAGTCATTATTAATAATTCCATTATAAAAGGAGGTGTCAGTGGGTGTCGGAAGGTGTGTGTTTCTCTGTCCAGGGTGACCATATATTTTCAAAGTTATGCATGGTATGCTCAAGTTGTGCCGTTCTCTTCTCATGCGATATTATGCAATTGACGTGTTGCTTGACATTGGAGTCACTCAGCTTTCTAGCTAGTCATGATTTTGCAATCTCTCTCTTGGCAGATGTCAAGATGTGAAGGGATAGTTTAAAATGCGGCCCTGGAGAGGCCCACAGGTTTACAATTGAGAAGAAGTAAAATATTTTTTGCCTGTTATCTAAATCCTTTATATGCAAATGCGCCTTCAGGAAACCTGATATCCTGAATAGTTAGTTATCTATACACGTTTTCTGTCTAGGAAGATGGAGAAAAAGATGTAGGTGAATTCTAGCATCCCAGCACCTCTAGAAATCTACTCTCTTCTGTTGGTACTGTAGATCATATACCTCTATATGGACAATGCTACATAGGAGATGCAGTGAAGATTCACACGTGTAGGGAGCAAAGGGATTTTTTTTTTATGACTCGGACCTGCCTGCATCAACATGCAAAAGTGAATGGGAAAATGTAAAGACAGAATGGGAGTTCTTTATCATTCCATCAACAAAAGTATAAATTGAATCTCTTTGTTAGGTCCAACTTATTAGAGAGGGAAGCAAAACCTGTCTGCACAACCAGCCAGGAATCCCTCACTCATTGACGAGGAAGATTCTGCAGTGTTTGCTCTCTGTAAGAGGTCTACCTGTCACTGACAAAGTGCCTCTAGTGACAGGATTGTAAGTGTGATGGAGACCTAAAACTCAGACCTGTTTCATTGTCCACTCTTTTACCAACAACATTTAAAAAAAATGGCCATTGGGGATAGAGATAAAAGAAAGTTTAAGGCTGCAGAGACATTTGTTGCCACCAGGAAGCAATTGAAGCTATTATAAGATGAAATTGTGATTAGTCTGTATGATTTATTTTACCATGTCAGGCTTGTATGACATGTTGGGAAACACCTGGGAATGGACGTCTACAGAATACACACTACCTAGAGAGTCTACCACACAGCGTGGACAGAGGATGTTTGTCTTACGTGGAGCATCATGGATTGATACCCAAGATGGTTCAGCCAATCATAAAGCTCGTGTTACTACCAGGTAAGACTTTTTTTAATACGTCATATATTTGTGCAGCTTTCACCTAAATTGTTTGAAAATAAATAGAACATTAGTTATATTAGTGTTGCTATTTCCTATATTGCTATTTTCTTACATCCTGATAGCTAAAGAAATCTTGTTCAATGACTGGTTTGTGATGGGGGCCGAGCTAATAATGGTTTTTTGGAGGTCTTTTCTTTTTTTGGTTAGGCCAAACTGTTGCTTTATAACTGAGGCCTCAAAAGTCTGCCTTACTTAATAATGCAGATTATGGATGAGATCACACATGAACATTGAGAGGAACTATCCATTCATCACCGCTAGAATTGGATAGTAATTGATCATGTTGTTCATATATCTGTAATTATTACCTTTACTATTTTTCTGTTTATGTGGTATTTATCTGTATTAGGATGGGCAACACACCAGATTCTGCCTCGGATAACCTGAGTTTCCGCTGTGTCACAGATGTCACCACACCAACAAAACATGGAACAGAGGACCTTTAGGAAAATATTGCAGTTACTACTTTAATCACTCTGCTTGATGTCATGGGAATGAAGTCTCTTCCTAAGGAAGAAGAAATCAACGTTATTATTTTGGTCACCTATGGGTGAAATGAGAGAATGTTGAAATAATTCTCTTCCATATGCAAGAATATTCATTTACCAATATGATGATCCAAAGCCTCACTTCACATGGGTCCAATTGACTAGGCAATGTTTGGTTAGAAAATCCACCCTAAGTTTGGAGTTTTGACAGCACATGAGAGCTATTCATTGCCCACAAACATATTGGATGAGATGATACATTCACAAAAATTGCTGCTTGCCCAACAAAATTAAAGCATTTTACCTCTTTCATACTGAGATGATGATGGTGAGATTATCGTAAAATAAATGTTCAATTTTCAGCTAAAAAATGGCCATGAAAAATCCTTTAATGATATGGTCTTTGTGCTGGTAAACGTGACAGTAGTTGACTTTCATTCAATAAAGTAAAATGACTGCAGTCTCACTATGCAATTGTGTGGCGTGGCAGGTTTGGATGGGATTAGTATCTGTATGTGACAGTCACTTAATTGATTTTTTTAAAAATAAAGTTTGACAAATAAGATTATAATGTTCCTGTGTCTGGTTTATGATGCTAGTGCTTATTTTGGTATAATGAGGCTAAACTATACTTCATTCTCTTTATTCCCAATGTACAAATTGTAAGAATTAAGTTAATAATGAAAGGAGATATCTGTCTAGCTAGAAAATGTTACCAAATCAAAGGAGTGGACAAACAATTACTAAAGGAAGGCTCACTTTGTTTTATTTTAATGTATAGCTGTTTTACACACATGGGCACACACACTATTTTGCATATATAATGTAAGAAAATTTTAAGTGACATGTTTTCCTAACCACATTTATCAAATTCAACACAAATTTCTTCCAGCTTTGGTTCCCCAGATTCTCCTTTGCAGTACCATATACAACAGTGGTAGGATCCTACAAGACTTTGTGACTCTAACTCAAACAAGATTAGCAGTGCCAGGTATTCCAGCCATGATGCTCATATATTGTATCAGTAGTGACGTTTATAGAACCTGAAAATCTTTGTATTGCTACAACACTGTTTATCATATGTTCTGCAGTGATTATTAAGGCTCCATTCACACATGAACAGTTTTCCGCGCATATTCGGCTGTAAGAATACGCATGGAACCGCTCTAAACATAAAATACAATGCATTTTAATGTGCATTGTTCAGACTTGCGGGGACGGTACCAAACCGCATGTCCCGCAAAATAGTCCAAGCACGATTTCAAAAGCGGAATCCGTGCAGTTGTAAAGATTTTAGCGTGTTCGTGCCGTGCGGTCTTCCATACATAAGACCACGCTGGAAACGCAACCACTATATGTGAATGGAGGCTAAGGAATTGGGTACAAACACATACACAAATGTAAAAAAAGATCTGTTAATTGATTTTAAAAGAAAATGTGCTGATTACAAAATGTATGAGCAAACAAAATATAATACTGTATGGGAAAATAGCAATTGCTTCTACCATACACACCTATGCACTAAAACAGATCCTAACTACTGTGTAAGATCTAACAAAGCACTACATCAATCTACCCACTCAATAAAAGATGACTTTAACCAGTGACTTTGTGCTTCCAGACCAGACTCAATGCTTCCAATCTAGCTCTTGCGCAGAACATTGGAGAGTGTGCATTTACTCTTCTATTCCCAACCACTTCCTTTCTCTAATGTATCGCAATCTTCATCTGATTGGAGCATTTAATTCCTTTGTTCAAGTCACTTCAACCTGATAGTAAGAATGTATGTAAACAGAATGGCTGTTAGAATCTGTATTGTCATTTGAACAAAGGGAGGGAAGCTCACTCAGTAACACCCAGTAAGGTTTTGCTTCTGTGTGTGTTACTTTAGAAACAGAGAGTGATAGCAGGAAAAGACCGAGTGGTCCCTTGTGTCTGCCCCTTTTTTTTGGGTGGGGGGGGGGGGGGGGGGGGGAGATCTATGTTTGTCCTAAACATGTTTTACGTTTATGTTTGACTGACTCTCTACAGCTGCTGGAAGTCAATTACAATTGTCAACTACTCTTCTGGTAAAAAATACTTTCTAAGGTTAGTTTTAACCTTCGAACCTTCCTTCATGCTAGTTTGAGGCCATGTCCCTGTGTTCTTGATCTTAGCTTCATATAAAAAATACTGCCCTCCTGTATTTTATTTATACATTAAGCATGGATTAATATTACGTTTATTGTTGTAAAGTCTTGGGGGACTGGGGAGTTTTATATCTAAAGTGCACTTGTTTTTTAACGTGTAGACTAAAGGCCATTTTCAACAAAACTTTGTTTTTCTTAGTTTTGGACTTAGTGAAAAAGATTGAAACCACTTCAGTTCACTTAAAGCATCACTGTAAAGATTACTGCTTACTTCCTGTCCCAGTGAACAAAGCATGTGAGGGGAAATTTCTCCACATAGGACATAGCAGTCAAAAAACCTGACAGAGGTTCTAAGGCCTCTTTTACACAGGCTTTCCAATCAGGTCCATCTGTCAGTTTTTCAGGCGGACCTGATCAGAAGCCCCGATGTTAGTCTATGGGCAGCCGGATCTAAACAGATGGGGCATCTGTTTACATCTGGTTACTCCCGGCTCCAGCCAGGTCCAGTGAAAACAAACAGATCCGTGATCTATTTAACCGGACTTAACCGCGCCAGATCAGTGGCAACCAGATGTAAATGGACGCCCCTCCTAATTGGACCGTGTGAAACTGTTTTAAAAATGTTTGTATTGCAGTCTGTGTCCATGATTGATTTCATATTACCTGTCCTGGAGACCACACAGAAAACGTAAGAAAACAAAGCAATAAAAACCCAACATAGATTCCAACTCTTCCCCACTCTATTCAAAGCAAGAAACAATTGGGCTGGCGTTCAGAGTTCCAAATGATGCAATGATACTTTTATTCTTGTTTATATACACTCATATATCATAAAGTAGACTGTTTTAATGCTTTGGGTACTTTAAATGTATTATATTTATAAATTTGGTTACATGTTTCATAAATATATTTACATACACACACACATATTCCATAAGTACACAGATTGTTGTCATTTTCTGTTTACGTGACAAAAGGCAGACTGTTATACTGAACTGGTCTCTGCCGCCAGTGACAAGAGAATGGCTTTTGCTGTATTTTCAAAGAGTGCGGCTCGGTTCTGCTGCTCTCCTTTCTTCACCCAGTGGCCGTAGATCCTGAACGCACAAGCATCGATCATCTTCCGAATGGGTCTAATTGCATATGGGTCCCTTGCTACGATTTCCTTAGTAACAGGTTTCACTCTACGATAGTGGTGGTAAATCCGCACAGAGGCCAAAACTGTTAGGCAGACCACCTACAAAGATGAAGTATTTTATTTGTATGAATCATTGTGTATTGCTTGTATGCATTTAAATCTTTTATATCATTTAAAAAGGTTCATTAGTATCTTAATATAGCAAGGGGAAACATAAAACAATGCATAGAAAGTATTTTAAGGTATGTATAGGCTGGAAAACCACTGTTGAGAAAATTTTGCACACACTAGTTTCTCCTATATTTGTAAAGGTCTCAGATTTTAACAAATCATAATATATTTGAGATGTAGCTGGGTGGTGGCATATGTTTCTATGCTCAGATATATGCAAAAAGTTATTGTTTTTTTTTTAAACCCGCTTTGAACAGTGGTTTAAACTTACCTATGTTCCCCGCGCGCTCCCGTCCGAAAATGTGAAACTGCACGGACGGCCACAAAGCATCTTGGGGCGGGCGCATGCGCAGTTCACATTTTCGGCCGGGACGCGAGGAAAGACACAAGGTAAGTCTATGGACGCGTGCAACCGCATGCAGACACCATGGGAGAGTACGTGCCAGCAAGCTCAGAGGAGTCAGCGCTGGATCGGAGATTCAGCTCCAGGTTCTTTGTCTTCTGCCTGATTTGTGGGCACAGCTTCCAGAGTTAAGTTTCTTTTCAAAGTGGATTGGAGTTCCAAAAAGTAAAGATTGTCACTGTTCTAGGGAATAGCTAAAATACTTGAATGCATTTTTAAGATTTACCTCCTGAGTTTAGTGTCAGTTTAACTTTAGTCCTTCAGTATCCAACTAATTTTAATACCAACTTTACTCTGGGGTAAACTTTTTTTGAAATTTGGACTTTATTCAAGTGTAAGCAGAGTGTAAGTAAAATGCATGAAAACATCTGACTTTTGACAATAGTCAATTATTATAAACTTCTGTCTACTTTACAATCTTGTGATTTAGAGTCATATAAAACAGATCATATTAAATGCCAAAGAATGAGTATATTTTACCTTAAATTTTCTGTACGGACTAAAATGGCGAACCTCTTCAACTGCATACTGCTGGAAGAAAGGATGGGCTAGAGCTTCATCTACTGTGAGACGTTTTTCTGGATTCACAACTAATAGTCGGGCAATCTAAAAAGAAAAATATATTTGTGTATATGAAATAATTACAAATTAAGACTACGCTGACATTTAAAAGTTATCGTTTCAGGTTTATGAAGAGAGTAAGCACTTTCTATACCAGGTCTTTAACTGTGTCTGACCGATCATCCCATTCTGGTGATCCAAACTGGTAGTCCCCATTCATAATCATTCGTAGCATTAGCATTTGTTTTCTGTGCCAAAATGGTGGAGAGCCAGCAAGTAGTGTGTACATTATAACGCCACTACTCCACCTGCAAGGCAAGAAAGGAGGGTGCCATTATCCTACTCCTACACATAGTTCACAGAAGAAGATTTCCCCTCATTGCAACCTAAACATCAACTTACATGTCCACCTGTTTATCATATCCTGGGTGGTACTCATCCATAGAGCACTGAAGGATTTCTGGTGCCAAATATCCAGGCGTGCCACAAATTTCTGAAATAAAAGAATGTCAGCAACCAAGAGTATTTCGGTTAATGGGGTTTATAACTGTTTGAATTATTGTACAGTTTATAATGGACTGGCAAAAATGGATTGTTGGTTTCTTGAATGGAAGTTACATTGGATGTGCATGGTGGATACCTTAAGGTACTACAACACAACTCAAGACTTTGAAAGGAGTGAACAATTTACTGCTCAAATGATTCCTATTTACCTCATACGAACATCCATGCATTTTAGATTTCATCATTGCCTATGAAGCCACGCTTCTCAACATTGGTTATCCCTATCTACATTTCACAAAGAAACTGAAAACAGGTAGGTTTCTGTAGAGCAACTACTATTGCACTGACATTCAAGCATGTATGATTTTGCAACCTTTATAAGGCAAATTCTCATTAGCAATTTTAACAAATGCAGAAGTTATGTGATGAGTGGGCTAAAGTAACCGTAAGGTTTGTTGCATATTGGATAGTATATCTGTAATGTGTAGAACAGAAGTAACAACAGTGTAACAAAAGGAAATGTGATGCACCAGGTTCAAGGCATTTTCCTGATGCAGGACATAAGAATCAACAAAATAAATAGATATATAAAAAAAAAAGAAATCCATTCTCCTTTCTAGAGTGGAGGTGATCAAATATTATTGAAGAAGTTATTATTATTGAATATGTATAGGAAGGAGTGGACCTACTGCATCCTGATAAAGTGTCAATAGTAAAGGGTACCTGTTTTGCAGACAAACAGACGTTTCAGACACATGGATCTCCAGCAGGGGAGCAGCGTGTTTACATCTTCTCTTTCTGGAGCAGCTGCTCCTAGCCTAGAGGGAACTAATGGGAAGACAAGAGATGCCCTCCTCTTTATCCCAATACCAAGTTTGTCTTCCCTTTAGCTCACTTTAGAGGTGGCCAGGAGCAGCCGCTAAAGAAGAGAAGATGCAATCACACTGCTACCAGACTGGAGGTCTGTGTATCTTAAACTCTTGGTTATCAGCAGGTACCCCTTGCAACTAAGCAGGATGCAGGTATGAGTAACATTAAATTATAAGTCCAAAAAGTACACTTATCCTTTACATGTTACTCAATGTCCTTTTTCTATGCCCTATCCTGGGGCTAAGCCCTCCCATTGAAGTGAAAAATGCCAGGACTTCTACTGCCCACTTAAAGCCCATGTGAAATTTGCAACTAACAAGCACAGTTTTAGATAATGTATACTTCAAAGCTCATCCTATCCTGGGCTGGGCCACCATCTGTTGGGCACCTGTGAACTTTGTAGAGTGGCAGTGCGATGCCAGGTACTGAATTGCTCTCTGTTGTTCAGCATCCAGTACTGAAATAAGGACATTACAGTCAGGAGGAGTGATCTCCACCTCACAGTACAAGTATACTTTGTAGAGCTGCAGCAGGGTGCCTGGGGCTGCAACCTGCAACACAGTGTGCATTTCGAGCACCCGGGACTGAAATAGACAGTACTGTCAGGAGTCTCCTCCCCACAGAAAATGTATTGTCTTGGCCTTCTTGGGGAGGTAGAGAGAATGGCACTGGAGTATGTGACCCGGTAGAGGGGGTTACAGTTCTCTGCCTTTTAAGTGTCCACCATTGGGGGGGGGTTACATTTCACTGTCACTGTATGGACCACAAATGCTGGGGGGGTTACATTTCACTGACCTAACCAAAAATGTGGGGTTACGAAAGACTGCCAATGACCAATAATCGGGGGGTGGGGGTAAATAGCACTACTACTGAAGCCCAGTGCAGGAGGGGGTGTTAACAGCACTGCTAGTAGCACCAAAACGGGGGATTATTATTATTACAGTCACTGACACCAATGCTGCAGGGTTATTATTGTAGTCACTGACACCAATGATGGGGGTTATTATTTCAGGCACCGACACCAATGCTTGGAGTTATCATTGTGGTCACTAAAACCAATTATGGGGATTATTATTTCGGTGTTATAGCACTCAGAGTCCCTGCCAGGTTTTATAGACCTTAATTTAGGAATTCCAGCCAGGACTTCCAGAAGACCAGCCAGTACCTCTAATGGTATTCACAGGAGCCCTGCCATTACTTGTGATGACCCTCATACAATCTAGGCCAGTAAGACCAATGATATTCATAGAATCCGGATCAAAACATCCAGAGTGCCCTGAAGGGAGCTGGGTTTGTCATTTCTAATTCAGAGAGGTATTTAAGCACCAACTCTGCAAGGGGCTGGTGCTGTGTCTCCCAGCCAGCGTCCTGTGCGTACAAGAGCTATAACACTGTTGTTTCCTGTTGCTGACCCGGATCATCTGACTCCTCTTCGCTGGCCGCCTGCCCTGATCTGCCTAAACCTGATTATGCTCCTGTCTCCTGCCCTACTGATTGAGTACTGACTGCTGACTTGGACTGTCTGACCACTCTCTGTTAACCACCTGCCTCCACCCTGCCTGGGTCTGACTACACTCTTGTAGCCTGACTTTGTCTCCTACCTGCTGACCCGGACCCTCCGACCATTCTCTGGTTCTCTTGTCGAATCATTTCCTGACCACGCACCAGATTACTGTCTCCTCATTGGAGCCCTCCTGTCCTGCTCATCCATTAGTGGGGCAATCCTGGGGGGCGCAACCCGGCACCAACAAGCAGCAAAGCCCATCTTCACCATCAGGAGCTCTGGTGAGAACCTGGTCTACAGCTGAAGTATCCATTCAGTGCCATGACATAACTCTGAGCAGAGAATTATGTTCCCATTCATGCTCCTTGCATTCTACTCTCCTGCATGATGCCATTTTACGTCAAGAGAGCAAAGGATGCAGTCTGACCACACTAGCACTGATCTCTTTCTGTACTGAGCGTGGTCAGTGTCACAAAAGAAGCTTTTCAATCAGTATGGGGCTGGTAGGTATTTGTAGTGCTTTTATTAGTACAAGTATACATCATGCTTACTATTATGGGCAGAGCAGTACAGTCCCTAAACCTAACTACCTGCATTTCTGTTATATAAAAAATTATGGTATTTCATCTTGGGCAAACAAACATCTGCTTGGGCATAGGATCCAAGGGTCCCCTGAGGGATACAGGGATTGATTTGAAGACTAAAGCTGGCCATGTACCTATAGATTTTCTGCACATTTCCTATGGTCAGAGGGAAAAAATGCAATAGATTCCTCCATCTATGCTAAACTGTGTGGATGGAGGGATCTCCCACTGGGCCAAGATACTGTATATTGCTAGTCGGCCCCGCTGTCTCTCAAAATACATAAACAAAGCCTGCATCCAATCAGATTGTTCAGGTCTTTTGACAGCCGGCGGGGGCCCACTAGCAAGATACTGAAGCTTGGCCCAGTGGGAGATTCCTCTATTCACACAGTTTAGCGTAGATGGAGGAACCTGTTGCACTTTTTCCATCTGACCACAGAAAATGTATAGGTGTGTATGGCCAGCTTTACACAGGTACTCTCTTTAGCACTGTTATTACTTTAGAAACATTTTAGGTCACTTTAAGGGATTATACCTATGGACAGTGATGTGGCTCCCCCATGTCTTAAATCATAAATTAAAAAAGCAAAAAGGATTAAAATATGTATGCATATGATGGCTTTTGTGGTTAAATTATTAAAAGGGCAGCAAAGAGATCTATTTCTGCCTGAAAAAAGAATTGCTGTACCTAACAAAATTAAATATATAGAACGATTCTGCTGACAGTTTCTCTGACGTACTTACCCAGCAATAGATCCAACTACATTAACAGCTTGGAAGGTGTATTTTCAGTGCTAGCAGATACAGGCCCCAAATAAGTCTGTTTGTTAGCTGTTTTAATAGGTACGTACTGTACATTTTGCTGAGCTCCATGGCACTGATTTCCATTATTACATCTGCATGCTGCTTACAACAGTGCAATAAATAAATAATAGGCAACTTATTTGTAATTGGATTACACATTATTAAGCGATATGAGATTGGCGGCAGACTTCACTACGGAAGCGGAGGATGACTTGCTTCAATCCTTGGCAAGGGTTCCGCCCTAGGGAGTTGGTGGCTTGTTACTAGACTGGGGAAGCCGGCTGGAGGAGGGGCTTTTATGGAGAGGGTTAGGTCATGTTTAACCCTTTTGGTTCCTGTCATCTAGGGGTAATTGGAGCTAACACCCAATGGTCAGCGCTGCCATGGAGTATAACCAGGAAAAGAAAATTACGGTAAGTATGATTAAATTTTCAGTTTTTATATCATCTTTTACATGCTGCATAAGAAAAAAATATTTCTGACCTTGAAAATGGTTTGATAAGCTTTGATGTAATGTCCTTGAATCTGAATCTCAACTAATAATAATAAAAAAGGCTTTAGAACAATTCCAGCTGAGTCATGGACCTCTGGAAAACCTTTCATAGTCCATCATTTGGCAAGCAAGAGCTATTCAACATCATCCTTTTTGTCATTGTAGTTTGAATGACTCAGCAGAGGATAATTATTAGATGGTTTGTGATGGAACATAGATTACCTTTCAGTTGCTGTCCTTCAGGTATTTGACAAGAGAAGCCAAAGTCTGTCAGCTTGATGTTCATGTTGTCATCTAGGAGGATGTTCTCGGGTTTGAGGTCTCTGTGAACAATGTTCTGGGAATGCAGGTATGAGACAACTTCCAATAAGGCCCTCATTATTTTTCTGCCAAAAATTACAATAGATAATATTAATGTAAGAGTTTTCCCAGTTCTATTATCTGCTTCCATTATTTTTTTTTCTAAAGAGAACCAGTCAGATAAAGGCATTTGTAATAACCTGAACCTCCTCTGGATTTATAAAATAGTTTGGTCTTACCTTTCAACTGTGTGCTCTGTTATTTACTTGTATTCTTACCCTCCCCATGGAAATGTCATAGCCTAATGGCAGTCTGTATTTCCTAACAGAGGCCATCTAATCTTCTTCTCAGGTCAGCACATACAATGTCAAAGAACTAAAGGTGCTATAAAGTGCTATTGGGATTACAAGAATGAATGGTTTTATTGCTTGACAGTTTTACACTCCATTATCTACTTAGGGAGAGTGTTTGTGTTCAGCACCAGATAAGACAGGAGATAAGCCAACCTCTGTGTAGGGATTGTACCTTAGTTTGTATTCTCTCCCTTTTAAAGCAGTAGAGTCAGTATAGTGTTAGGCCTGGTTCACACCTGTACGTTTTGTAGCGCGTTCAACGCTCTAAAAAACGCTCAAACATGAAAATCCCATTGTTTTCTATGGGTATGGTTCACACCTTGCCGTATTTCAGCCCGTCTGAACGCGCTACAAAACGGGCTACGCCTGAAAAGGTACATGAGCTTCTTTGCAGCGTTTTTGTCGAGCGTTTCCATTGGGATACAGCCAAGTAGCCCTCAGAAACGCGCGTCTGTCGCGCATTTTTTACAGCGAATCGCGGTAAAAATGCGCGTCACGAAACGTGCGACAAACGCGCATATTCGATACGCCCAGGTGTGAACAGAGCCTAATAGTAGGACATGCAGCTATTGCTGAAAACTAAGGTATGCATAATACAACAGTTTAAGTCGAGTAGAGAGAGAACAGAGTAGAGATTCAGATTATTTCACATACCCATACTAGACTGGTTCTGTTTAATCCTATTACTATATTTAATTACAATTTAATTACAAACATTCAATTAATTTACATTTTATATTTCTTACTCATTGCTCAACTGGATGAAATACTGTTTGAACTGCATACACTAATATTTTCTTCAGAATTGTTTGCCCCTAACTAAAAAGTTTATTGTATGCACTTGATATATCTGGATTCAACCTAGCAAACAATGAGAGCCCCACTGCCATTTTTCCTAATGGGGAGGTGTAAAATAAAAGACAGAATATGACTGGGTGTTATAGCTAAAACACTTGTTTAAGCCCATTGTAATTCCGTATGAAACCCAATTCTTAAGGTAGCTTCTCTTTAGCTATTGTAATAGCTTCCCAATTACATTTATGCAGGAGTCAATAGCTCTCCTCCTATGATAGACTCTGTATTCAACAAGGGTTAATAAATGACAATCTCACGATTAGTTTGCTCATTTTTATTGAAGTTATAGTCTATCACCAAAGTGAGTTTGGAGTGGTGGCTACTTTACAACACGCACAGGGAACATGGGGAACAAAACTGGCCACCCTCCAGAAGAAAGGACAGGGTCAGCATTAATTCAGAGATGATTTGAGGATCTACAGATGAGTAATACACAAAAAAATTACATTTGTGTTAATAGTTTGGTTACTTGAATGTATTTTTAAGGTTTAACTCCTGAGTTTAGTGTCACTTTAAACATTTATTACAAATTATTTTTTTTTGTAAATTGATACACTGATTATTGTAAACATGGACAGTTACCTTGTTTCCTTCTCACTCAATGTAACTTGTTCTGTGAGGTAGTCAAATAGTTCACCTCTCTTCATTCTGAAACAATGATAACATATTTCTATTTATCTCTTTCAGAAGAACATATTCCAAGTGAAGCAGAACAAAGTGTAGGCAACGTCAAGTGACCGCTATGAAATTTCTGTTTATTTGAGTTATGTGTGGGCTTAGAGTGAACCGAGTTCATATGAGTTTGCTCAAGCCTGTGATAAACTGTCAGTGACACCCACCTCCCGGCCCAGGGCATTCCTTGCCCCTTTGTTATCTGTAGCTGCGGGTTGGGGAAGGCCGCAACTGTTTGAGCCAGGATGGGGATGTGCCACTGACAGTTTTGCACAGGCTTGGGCAAACTCGGTTTGTACCAAGCTCATGCACATCACTACTGTTTAGAAGACATAGCATGGGGAATTAAAACTATATACAGGTGAAACTTGATTAGAATATCGTGCAAAAGTTCATTTATTTCACTAATACAACTTAAAAGGTGAAACTAATATATGAGATAGACTCATTACATGCAAAGCAAGATAGTTCAAGCTGTGATTTGTCATAATTGTGATGATTATGGCTTACAGCTCATGAAAACCCAGATCCACAATCTCAGAAAATGAGAATATTGTGAAAAGGTGCAATATTCTAGGCTCAAAGTGTCCCACTCTAATCAGAGTTTCACCTGTAATCACCATTTAGCCAGCAGTTTTTCCTTGCACACCTTGTGTATGAATAGAATGTGTTACAGACAAGAAGTTATATTTTGCTATAAAATCAACAAAAAGAAAGAAATGAGGGCACAACATTTTGTGTAGCTAGTTCATCTACCCTTGTGATTTATTATCACAGACCGGTGTTATTTAATAGAGACCTATCTAAAATGTCAGGATCTAAATGTGCTTGAACCTGTTAGACGAAGGTCTCCGTTGCATCCAAGCTGTCTGGCTGAACAGAAAGTAAAAATAAACCTCCAGTGATATTTTAACTGGGCACAGTAAAGGGTACAAGGACATATGAGCTGTAAAGCCAGTCATTCAGAGATCTTTGAGGGCAACTTTTACATAAGCAAGGGGGCAGGTACTCTACCCAACAATGCTTAGAATGCCTTTCAGAGAATCATACACAACAATTTGGCAATAGATACATATTGTAAGCTCATTAGAATGACATTCATAAACCCTTCAATTATCTGCTGATGTGTAAAGTCCTTAAGATTCACTGTGTTCCTCAAGGAAGTCATGCTGGATGAGTGTCTGGACCCATGAAAATGCTCTAAACATGTCAGATGTAACAGGAAGAGCAGCCAATGTAATAAACACATATCCAAGGGAACAAACATGCCAGTTTTTATTTTCATTTATAATATACTTGTACACATTGCAATAGACCACGTCTTCAAACACCCATGCATCCCCTGGCCCCCGATCTTTGATCTATTGATTTGGTGAAGGTGTTCAGGACAGCATTTGTGTAGTTTTAGTTTATAGCAAATATTAGAGCAGACATTTTTTTTTATTTTGCTTTGGATAGCATGGGGAAAGATTAGATTCTCTGGCATATATGTATCGCTGTCTGTATTGCCACTGGAGAGTATTTCTCACTATCTGTCCTAGTGACAGTGATAACTTATGGAGGAAATCTGTTCAATGTAGACATATACAGCAATAAAAGTGCAATGTGTCTCCTGGGTACACAGCATCGTATGTCTACTGTCTGTTTGATACATATATTATTACCATGCATTTATTGTATGTTTGTTGGGCAGTCATTTGTGTAAAGTGGAATATCTTTGTGGCACAAATGTTGGCGACTTCTTTTTTCCCCCCTTATGTTACATTTGAAGCTTGAATATAAATGCTAAAAAAGTGTAATTTGTGTAACAGAGTACGGAAGTGTTAGAACCTTACAGCATATATGCTGCTACCACTATGGAAACCAGCCGACATCTACCTTGTATGTATGTTGTATGTTACAGAACTGCAACCTTGCCTGACTGGGAACACATGATTTAAACAAACAGGTCTTTTTTTTTCAGCATCCAGCAATAATCACCAGTGTATGCTATTTGTCATTAACCACTTCAGTACCAGCATGTTACACCCCTTTCATTACCAGGACATTTCAGTTTTCAGCTCTGTGCAAGTTTGAATGAGAATTCCTCCATCTTGCAACACTAACAAAATTATTTTTACATAACTTTTGGGGGACAAATAGAGCTTTCTTTTAGTTGTATTTATTAACAGATTTTTTTTAAAAATCAGAGCAACATCATGCTTCAGCCTTCCCCTTTTATCTCACCTTGATAAGCATTTATTAGGCAATTAACAATCCAGGTAAGGCACAAAACCTGAGCTGGATTATTCAGACCCAAAGTCAGCCCGAAAACCTGGTCTGGGTTCTGCTAATCCTGTACATAGGATAGAAAGCGAGGGGAAATATATCGCCCCTTGATTACTTTACCTTTACTTATGTCACACTATATAAAGTAACAAATACCAAAAAAAGTAACCTGTTGCTCTTACTTGCGTTTATAAATCATAGCAAATGTCAGGCAAGAAAGAAAACCCCTGAAATTACCCGGTTTTGGAAAGAAGACACTCCAAGGTGATCTGAAGAGGGGATGAAGGGGTTAATGTACTAGATCACATACAGTGGGAGGATGGAAATGAATGGGCTAATGTATAGATATGTAGGGTAAGGTGGAGGGTTAATATACAAGTCATAGCAGAGATAGAATGGATCTAACATAGGCAGGAGAGGGGGGATTAAAGGGTTAAAATAATTTAAAAATGAATGTATTTTTGCTGCTGCAGCTTGTTTTTGTTAGGAAGTAATTAAGGGATGACTCATCCATTCATTACTCCCCTTACTCTCCCCTGCCACTGATGTAAGAAGGGGAGGGTTTCTGTGATTGCTGTGATAGCCAATCACAGCGATCACAGGATGTAGAGCAGGTTCGATCAGCTATGTGTCTAAAGCCGCAGCTCTCCACTGTCTAATGACAGCAGGAGCAGCGGCCGCAGCAGCCACAGCCGCACATAAACAGGAGTTCACAGAAGGATGTCCTCCAGGAACAATGGGGCTGCAGACTGGCCATACATATACAGGGGCCGGTCTGCAAGTGGTTAATAGCCCCTTTGATTATTGGTCACTGTGAAGACCTTCGTTTTGTTTGAATCAGTCTTTTACTGATGTTTGCATTCCTGTTGGGTAGTTGTTGAATTCCAAGGATAGTGAAACCAACAGAGGAAGTAGGATGTAATCTGCCTAGTATTCCTGACAAAGGTTTTAACCCTGCCAACTCTATCCAGAGCCAAAATCCAAAAGAAGAACCTTTTGTCTGGAGTTACACTTTATTATAGATCAGAAACTGGTATAGCTGTTGTAGAATTATGTTTTTAATTCACATAACTAGTAGAATCGTTTGCTTCTGTTGTGTTTGCAGCACTAAAGTGTAAATTGGGTCAGCAGATACCAATTCCCTGCTGCCATTTTTAGGCTACATACATAGATAAATGTTTTGAGTTGGTCATTCAATACATCATTTAGGCTGCCACATTAGCCTCACACAAAAAAACAAAACCGATATACTTGGAATGAAAGCCTGTGCTTATCAATACACAATACAAAGAACACACAAAACATATTGTACTTACAGGTCAAATACCAGAAAGAAGAATGTGTTGGATTCAAAGCTGTCTTTCAGCTGGACTGAGACAAATAAAAACAGATTCGTTATCATGTACATGTGTTATTTAACTCTACTGTTTAATATTTGTACAGTTCTGTGAAAAGCTGCTCTAAGGCTGGGCTATGTTCCAGAGAATTTTAATCAACATTTGGTTGGGATCCTAATATCACATGCAGAAATTCAAAGATTACATGACAAAGCTCTGTTGAGTAAAAAGATTATCTCTTACTAAAAGTCAGGGTGTGCTTGTCCATCATATTTTTTTGGCTACCAGACAAACTATTACCAGAGCATTCAGGCAACCTACATTGAATTTCGGGGAGGTCAAACAAAGTATTATGGGTACCATGATTAATGAGAAGCTCGCAGCTATTCTAAAGGATACTGTCAGAGCACAATGAAAACCAGACAAGCAAAAGGTGCTAGTTAAAATATTTATTATGAACAGTGTCCACGGGAGCAAGCAGAATCATAAACCGGAACAAGCCAGAGTCAGGAGGCCACGTGGGTAGTCGTCCAAGCCAGGAACACAGATCAGCATCATCAGGAAGAAGCCAGGAAATCAGCGTTGTCAGGAACAAGCCAGGATCGGGTCATACACGGAATCAGGATACTCAGAGCAGCAGGAAAGCACTAGCAGGAAGACCACGCAAAGGCAAGGTCAGACTGGGCTGAGTGGTTTATATATAGTGAGTGGAGTGACATCATCACTCAGAGACAGGAAACTCCCATCTGACTCTCTCAGATGATGCTCTCCTATCTGACCATAAGAGGGAGCCTGGGAGTAGTGAGCAACATTCCAGAGTCTGCTCAGGCAAGGAAGGAAACAGGTGAGTAAAATGGCAGCCAAGCCAGAATGCTGCAAACCAGTAAACTCAGGGTGGAACCCTGACAGATACCCATAAATATATTTAAAAATCTGGTCTCTGTGGGTGGAGTATCTCCACAATGGGGGATTTGATTTCATTATCTTGGGGCCCAGAGGATTTCCCCCTCCACTCCCATTCACCCCTTCCTCTTTCCCCTCTTTTCTTTCATCTTATTCTTCTCAACTCCCCCTTTTTTTGTTTTTGTTTTGAGAGTGGACACTTGTGCCCTAGTTTGCTGGCTTCCAAAATGGCTTCCTATATATATATAGAAACTGTGCAAACGTTTTAGGCAGGTGTGAAAAATGCTGTAAAGTTTATTTTTATCAATTTTAAAAAAGGAAAGTAAATGAACAGAAGAGAAATCCAAATCAATTCAATATTTGGTGTGACCACCCTTTGCCTTCAAAACAGCATCAATTCTTCTAGGTACACTTGCACACAGTTTTTGAAGGAACTTGTTAGGTAGGTTGTTCCAAACATCTTGGAGCACTGAGCACAGATCTTCTGTGGATGTAGTCTGCCTCAAATCCTTCTGTCTCTTCATGTAATCCCAGACAGTTTCCATGATGTTGAGATCAGGGCTCTGTGGGGCCAAACTATCACTTCCAGCACTCCTTGTTCTTCTTTACACCGCAGATAGATCCTAATGACATTGACTGTATGTTTGGGGTCATTGTCCTGCTGCAGAATAAATTTGGGGCCCTGATGGTATGGCATGATGGATAAATATATGTTTGTAGTACTCAGCATTGAGGACACCATTGATCCTGAGCAAATCTCCAACTCCATTTGCAGAAATGCATCCCCAGAATTGCAAGGAACCTCCCCTCTGCTTCACTGTTGCTACAAATACTCATTGTAACTGGCTCCTGCTACAGCCAACTGTTTCAAATTTTGACTCGTCAGTCTAGAGCCCCTGCTGCCATTTTTCTGTTACCCAGTTCCTATGTTTTTGTGCATAGTTGAGTCACTTATCCTTGTTTCCACATCGGAGGTATGGCTTTTTGGGCGCAATTCTTACATGAAGACCACTTCTGGGCAGACTTCTCCAGACAGTAGATGGGTATACCTGGGCCGCACTGGTTTCCTCCAGTTCCATGCTGATGGCACTGCTGGACATCTTCCAATGTCGAAAGGGAAGTAAGCATGATGTGTCTTTCATCTGCTGCATTGTTTCCTTGGCCGACCATTGTGTCTATGGTCCTCAAGGTTGCCTGTTTCTTTGTGCTTTTTCAAAACAGCTTGAACAGCACATCTTGAAACCCGAGTCTGCTTTGAGATCTTTGCCTGGGAGAGACCTTGCTGATACAGTACAACTACCTTGCCATGGTATATGGCCTGTAAAACTGTCTTCCACAACCTCACCTTAGTAGAAGAGTTTAGCTGCTCCTCACCCAGTTTTAGGCCTCCTACAGAGCTGTTTCTGTTTCAGTTAATGACTGTGTTTCACTCTACCTAGGAAATGAATGATCATTAGCACCTGCTTGGTATAATTGGATAATCCTACACCTGACTCTAATCCTACAAAATCCCTGACTTTGTGCAAGTGAAAGAATTGATGCTGGTTTGAGCGCCGGTTCACACCACAAAGTCTGCGTTTCAGTGCGTTCCGGTCCAGTGCAATCTGCAAGCACTATTTTTGCAGATCGCACTGGACCGAAACACAGACACTAATGTGCCTGTGTTCTGGGTGAGGGACTAAGGGTGGGGGGCGTGGCTGCGGTGCCATTGACTTCAATGCACCGCCACTCCCCCTCCCTCTCCTGAACGCAGGGAGCCGGCTGGCTTGCGTTTCAGTGCGTTCCAGAGTCCGAACGTACTGGAACACAGACTTTGTGGTGTGAACTGGCCTTGAAGCCAAAGGGTAGTCACACCAAATATTGATTTGAATTAGATTTTTCTTCTGTTCACTCACTTCGCATTTTGTAAATTGATAAAAATAAACAATAAAATATATATTTTTAAAAGCATTTTTAATGTACAGAATTTTTTCACACCTACCTAAAACTTTTGCGCAGTACTATATATATGTGTGTGTGTGTGTATATGATCTGGGTGAGCTGACCTCTCGCCGTTCACAGTGTGCAAATGTCTTGACGTATATGTCCCAACTATTTTGCGGGCCCTTTCATTATGCATTGTAGTTTGTTTCTGTTTTATTTCCTCTCTGATTCTTATTTTGCTTTAATTCCAATGCCTTTTCATGCTCTCTTTTAATCCATGGCAATCATTCCCACGTTCTGCCTCTAAATGTTAATCCTTTACACAAAACTTTAATAAAACATTTAGTAAAACAAGGTGATTCATTGTCAAATCACCTGTAAATTCTTCACCAAACTAAAAGTGCACTTGATACACTAAATGACAGTCTGTCGCATTACCGTATATACTCGAGTATAAGCCGACCCGAATATAAGCCGAGGTACCTAATTTTGCCACAAAGAACGGGGAAAAAGTATTGACTCGAGTATAAGCCGACCCGAATATAAGCCGAGGTACCTAATTTTGCCACAAAGAACGGGGAAAAAGTATTGACTCGAGTATAAGCCGACCCGAATATAAGCCGAGGTACCTAATTTTGCCACAAAGAACGGGGAAAAAGTATTGACTCGAGTATAAGCCGACCCGAATATAAGCCGAGGTACCTAATTTTGCCACAAAGAACGGGGAAAAAGTATTGACTCGAGTATAAGCCGACCCGAATATAAGCCGAGGTACCTAATTTTGCCACAAAGAACGGGGAAAAAGTATTGACTCGAGTATAAGCCGACCCGAATATAAGCCGAGGTACCTAATTTTGCCACAAAGAACGGGGAAAAAGTATTGACTCGAGTATAAGCCGACCCGAATATAAGCCGAGGTACCTAATTTTGCCACAAAGAACGGGGAAAAAGTATTGACTCGAGTATAAGCCGACCCGAATATAAGCCGAGGTACCTAATTTTGCCACAAAGAACGGGGAAAAAGTATTGACTCGAGTATAAGCCGACCCGAATATAAGCCGAGGTACCTAATTTTGCCACAAAGAACGGGGAAAAAGTATTGACTCGAGTATAAGCCGACCCGAATATAAGCCGAGGTACCTAATTTTGCCACAAAGAACGGGGAAAAAGTATTGACTCGAGTATAAGCCGACCCGAATATAAGCCGAGGTACCTAATTTTGCCACAAAGAACGGGGAAAAAGTATTGACTCGAGTATAAGCCGACCCGAATATAAGCCGAGGTACCTAATTTTGCCACAAAGAACGGGGAAAAAGTATTGACTCGAGTATAAGCCGACCCGAATATAAGCCGAGGTACCTAATTTTGCCACAAAGAACGGGGAAAAAGTATTGACTCGAGTATAAGCCGAGATTTTCAGCCCATTTTTTTGGGTGAAAAGTGCCCCCCTCGGCTTATACTCGAGTCAATACTTTTTCCCCGTTCTTTGTGGCAAAATTAGGTACCTCGGCTTATATTCGGGTCGGCTTATACTCGAGTATATACGGTATGTTGTGTGAGAGCTAATTTATACTAATAAACGCATAAATGGTGCAGACCCAGCCGTTTTGTTCAAGTGAAATCTACTTGTGTGAAATAGCCAAAGCTTGTCATAAGATAACCCCCTTCTGTTTGTTAATGGCATTCTGATTGCTTGTAGACTGCATGTCAATATTACCAAATACACAGTGAACAAGTCTGTAAAAAGTTTAGACCTCTTCGGTTCTAATCTTTTCTTTAGCAAGCATAAGCAGAAAGTCATTATCTCAAGATTCTGGAGCATTAAGGAAATATACACACTTGTCTCAAGGGTTAACACTAAATCCTGCTATGAGGGAAGCCAAAGAGGGGTAGGGGATTATTAGGATGCATGGAGAGTCCAGTTACATTCTAGGAACCATTTAAAGGTTAACAGGAACATGCCCTACCATCTGCCTGTCCCTCATCCCTGTCCCTGCACATCTATGTGCGCAAGCTCTAACATAGTACAGTAAACTCCCCATTATCCGGCATCCACAGGGATTGGTAGATTCCTGATAAATGCAGTTTCCGGTTGCTTGAGAGTTACTATTAAAAATAGGTCTAACTAATGCCATACCCCATACTATACCATAACACAAACTCTGTATTGACTTCATATTAATATTGAAATGCAGTCATTAAAAGTGAATAGACACAGTTAAAACAAATTAAGACAAATAAACACACAATCCATTCTAGGATAATACATGTTACAAATCAGCAGAACAGTGAGCACACAGGGGATTTTTTTTCTGGTTAGATTAGAGTTCTGGTTAGTTGAATACTGGATAACAGAGAGTTTACTGTACAATTGTCAAAATGCAGTAATTAGCTTTGAAGAAAGTGACTGCATCCTATCTTGTAGACATTTGTATCAAGCACTCAATGCAATCCACACCAAACACTGCTCACATTCCAAATCCGGCTTCCCATCACAATTGTATCCAAGGTGCAGGCAATAAGTGTGTCGTTGCTTGTAGCAACACAACTCAAAGGATGCCGTACTCCACAGAAGATAAAATCTTATTTACAGAGCAAATACATACTGTGCATTCCTCTTCCTATAGCCTCAGCTGCTAATGTGTTTCACCATTTTGGCTTACTGGTGAAATTCGTTAGGGGTTGAGGATATACGGAGAAAAGTGAACAGTGTGTATTTGCCCCATAAATAAAGATTTTACCTTCGGTGAAGACCCGTGGAGTATGGCATCCTTTGAGCTGACACACTCAATGTAACTGCATATATCTTACTCGGCGATTTCAGGGCCTTGAGGAATTCCAGGCTCTACAAAAGCATCCACCTTTATATAAACCCAAGAACAAAAATGTAATATATTGCAGCTCACTGGCACATAGATAAAGAAGCTGCATTCATTTCTTTTGTTCTTTTTTGTATTATATATTTTTCCTGGTGATCCTGCCAGTAGCACACTTCCTGTCTTAAGGAGATAATGCTTACTCACTGTACTGAATTTATGAAAGGACAGTGTTGTCACCCTAGGACAGAAAGTGTTTTAGGACTACAAGTACATTTCCTCATCTCTATAGCATAGGAGGAGGTGGTCTGGGGTTCACGGAGGTGAACTGGGGTGATAACAGTGCTTGAGATAACACTGCAGAATGCACAGAACACAGGACAGCTCTGGGTTTCTTGCAGGAGCAACAGGTATTTTTTTGTACAGATATAACACATTTATATAACATTTTTGTACAGATATAACAAAACACTTGCAATGGTATATTTAACAGACCAAAGGGGTGCTAATAGGAGAAGTCCATTGCAAGGGTTTTTTATACACTTTATTATATTACTATAACTTTCTGTAGCTTTGCTTCTATACATACACACAAATCAGAAAGGGTGATAATCTGTATTCTAGGGATTGGTAGTCAAAGTATCTTGTTTTCACTGAGGCTATCAGTGTGTGCACATTACTGCTACAGTATAATCCATTCACTTAGAGTGCGACCATGCGGAATTATTCTCTGCAGCATCCAGAGCTGTGTTGACCAGTCCTACTTAACTTCCATTCAAAGGTCTCAGAGTTTAAATAAAATGAACCATATTACCAGTTTTTGCTGTGGACTACTAAGCAATGACAGCATGTATTTATAAAAAGCAAAAGTGATTTCTTCAGCATCTCCTCTTGCTCTATAAGTAGCCTCAAAATTAAAACTTCAGGAAGCAGTCCTTATATCTAATCTGTCATTTTACATCTACAACTGTTTTAAGTCACTGACTTTGAACAAGCTTTGAAATCACTTCGGATTTCCTATTTATTATCTGCATGCTTATAATAAGTCACTGTCTCAGAATATTAAATCTAGAGTCAGACAGGCAACTAGTATTTTCTTTAGAAGGAAGTCAGCAATGGTAGCATATGTATTTTTATCAGTACATGTGTCCTTTAGGAAAAATCCTAATTTCAGAGGAATAAAAAAACGCCCTCTCTGTTTATAAAAAAAGTGTCCTTGTGTGGAATCGCCTTTTCTCTGTTCACTGATAGTAAATATATGTAATATAAAAATAAAATAAATAAACAAAATAAAAAAATGATATAAGCATAAATAATAATTGCTAACTAAAGCGAAATAATAATCAATGAATACTCTATATCACATACAATCTCAAAGTGTCCATAAATTAGTCAAAAAAATCTGGTGATTGTGGGAAAGGAGTCGGTGGGAAAGCACTTCTGGGAGATACACATTGGACTGTGATAAAGAGTGGGTCACTATATATTATTCACGTTGCTTTGATATTGTTTGGACATTAAAATATGGACACTTTAAGGAAAGAGAAATTTAACCCTTGAATAGACTTTTTTGAATTTTTCATTTATGCTGGATTGGCACTATTGGGATTATATTATGTAGAGCACCGGTTGATTTATTGGACACTAATTTATGGACACTTTGAGATTTTATGTGATATAGAGTATTCATTGATTTAATATTTAGTTTTAGTTAGCATATGTTCTTGATGCTTATATTCTTTTTGGATTTTATATTTTGTTTATTTATTTAAGCGCAGTGCACTTTGGGGTTTTATTTTGTGGGTGAATTCATTTATTAAATACACTTAGAGCAGAGCAGCTAATTTTTATCTACTTATATTTAATTTGGAAACAGTATCCATAGCGAGGTATTTGTTATAAATAAAAAAAATAAAAGCTTTCACCTCTTGCAACCATTCCCAAGATGAATAGGCTGTGCTTCTCCCCTTCAGCCACTAGATGGTGCTGTATATATGGCATAAATATGATCAGCAAGCTCAATAGAGGATCTTGTAACAGTCATGCTAAGGATGTTAGAGTTTACATAACTGCCTTCCTATCTCTCCCAGTGATAATATATGAACAACCAGATATTGCTGCTGTTAAGTTTTCCAGCAGAGTTCTGCCCAGTTACTGAATTTGCATTAAGGATTGTGGCTGATCTCAAAGTTTAGCACTTGCCAATAACACAAACTGAATTCCTTTATATGAAATCTGGAGCTAGTTGGATTGCTGCTCTACTGTGGTTCTGCTAATCTATTTATAGGTTCCAAATAATTATCAAATGCTTAAATAATATTTAATGACTTCTTAGTGTCCCACAGTATTTAAATATTTATTTAGGGTAGTTTTAAAAAAAGATATAAAACTGTAATTGAAATGGATCCTGAATTGTTCTGACATCTGTTTACAAGCTGTGGCATTAGTTAATATAATAGCAGGCCCCCCAACGGTGGGGCAATGGTTACACACGATTGATGGAATGCTCCCTCTCTACAGGCTGACCTATATGAGTCGCAACTGTCCACGCAAGTTTGATCGGGTTTGGGGAAACTGGGTGGACGCTAGGGGACTTACCCTGCAGGGGGCTGGGCGGAGAGACTTTGCTCCCGCCTGCACCCTCTGCGCAGTAGTATGGATGTGGGATGAGGTGGAAATTGAAGGACTCTGTAGATAGGCTCTACATGATGTGGGAACCAATGTCTTCAAGATACTTCTAGTTCATCATGGAAGTTCTCTCTCCTTGATCCTTAGGTCTCTTCCTCACTCTTATGGTTTCCCATTCCCTTACCCCCCCCTTAACCCTTGTACACATCATTGTAGTTATTTCCTGATCCTGGTCTTTCGAGACTTCGTCAGTATTTTGTTCTTTGACTACAATATTGCCTTATGGTTTACCTATTTATTTGCTGAGTTTCCCCTACGGCTTCTGCGTCAGCCCATTGGTCTCATTTATCTGCTTATGTTATCATTTTATGTTGAAAATTATTGCAATTCTTGTGAAACAAAACTTATACAGTTAATCAAGTCATACGGTAGTAGATAATATTTACATTTTCATATTTGTATTTTTCTGGAAACATGGTAAGGAACTGTTGGGACATATTTCTACAATTAAATATTACTCACTGACATTAGAGTGCCCTGAAACTTTTCTCAGGATTTCAATTTCCTTAATAGTAGCATCTCGGAGTTCTTCAATTTCTTGCTGCGTCAAGTGGTCTCCAGTGATGTCTATAATCTTTACAGCAAAATCCTCTCTGGACGGCTTAAAGACGCATCGCCGAACCACACTGCTAACTCCTCTGTAGGAAGTATAGAAATGTATTTATAAAGTAGCATTATATCCAAAACGCGGTATGGTGGTAAAAAAACTAATATTTTATATATATATTTTG